ATTCTTCTATATCATCACTTCCATCATAAGAAATAGTCCACTTATCAACTTGCACTTTGTCATTGCTCGCTATAGGAAAATTATAGGAATTATTCAAATTACGTGACTGGTTACGACTAGAAGTGCCATTTTCATTAGGCAATTCAAGATGATTGTTAAAATTTTCTAATGAAGGTCTACCTCTTCCTTCGCGTACGGCTTCTACTTAGTTACGTTGCATATTAGCAATCTCTTTCATCATCGTATTGTGGTTAATTGTAAGAACTCTTTCTAACACTGCACTTAGAGTTTCACCTAAGCCACTAGCTTCTGGATCTTCCCTCATATTAATGTTTGAAAAAGTTTCTACTTCGACTGTAGGCAATTCTGCTGAGCTCGGAATTTCCTTCCTCGTCAAACGTGTACTCTACCTGTGATTGATTGGTCTGAGTTCTTTTCGTTTTTCGCTTTCTTGTTCTGATACTTTAATTTTTGTTGCCTTGGATTTTTAATGCTTATTGTACCCTGAACCCATTAAAAATGGGTATAAGGGTATATTGTATTTGTGCAAAATCCAAATGTATGTAACAGGCAAAAGGAAGCATCTCCGACCCCATAAAGTATATATATTCTTGATCAGCATCAATAGCCGACTCGATCTAGCGATGTCCGTCTGTCTGTTTGTCCGTCCGTCCGTCCGTCCGTCCTTATGTATGAACGCAAGTATCTCAGAACCTATTAGAGCTAGAGACTTGAAATTTTAGATGTAGGTGCTCCTAGTGCATGCGCAGATTGAGTTTGTTTCCGATAATCGATAACTTACTTACTTCATTTCCAAGCAATCGATAAAAATCGATCTCGATATCCTGTTTTTTGGGAAATTTTGGTAAATAATAAGAGCTTGAGTCACCAAACTTTACATATAGCTTCTAAAATAGTAAATATATTTGCTTTTGGTGTTGGAAGAAGAGGGTTCAGGGTATCCCCTAGTCGGGAGCTCCCGACTAGAACCTCTTGTTTTTCAAGAAATATTGACCAAACTCTTCATTTATAAGTTTCACTATGCTCCCTAAATTTATGCAAAATCCTATTTACGTCGGACCACTCTACCTTATAGATGACATAGGAACGACTGACTGGAAAGTAAGTTCTCGTTTGAACAACTTTTTTGTTTATCAAGATATTTAATAATCTTGGTATTTATTAGTTTTACTATGTTGCTCATATTCATGCAAAATCCTATTAATATCGGACCACAATATCATATAGCTGCCATAGGATCGATCGGTCGAAAATTGAATTGTTGTATGAAGAAAATTTTGTTTTTCAAGATATCTTGTTGTATTAAAAAACAATTTGCGTTTCAAGATATTTTAACCAAACTCGACATTTATATCATATAGTTTTACTATGCTCTTCATATAAATGCATATTCCTATTAAGATCGGTACACTATATCATATAGCTACCACAGGAACGATCGGTAGAAAACTAGGTTTTTGATTAAAAACCTTTTGATACCCTTGCAGAGGGTATTATCATTTTGTCGTGAAATGTGTAACGCATAGAAGGAGACATCTCCGACCCAATAAAGTATATATCTTCTTGATCAGCATCAACAGCCGAGTCGATAGAGCCATGTCCGTCTGCCCGTCTGTCCGTCTGTCTGTTTCTATGCGAACTAGTCCCTCTGTTTTGAAGCTATCTTAATGAAACTTTGCAGAGCTCCCTCTTTCTGTTGCACGCAGCACATATGTCAAAACCAGCTGGATCGGATCACTATATCATATAGCTGCCATAGGAACGATCAGTCGAAGATTAAGTTTTTGTATGAAAAAACATTTTGTTTATCAAGATATCTTGACCAAACTCGGCATTTATTAGTTTTACTATACTCCGTATATGCATGCAAAATCCTATTAAGATCGGTGCACTATATCATATAGCTGCCAAAGCGGTCGAAAATTTAATTGTTGTATGAAGAAAAGTTTGTTTTTCAAGATATCTTGATCAAACTCGGCATTTATTAGTCTTGCTATACCTCTCATATATAGGCAAAGTCCTATTAAGATCGGACCACTATATTATATAGCTGCCATAGGAACGATTAGTCGAAAATTAAGTTGTTATATGAAATCACAATTTGTTTTTCAAGATATCTTGACCAAACTCAGCATTTATTAGCTTTAGTATACTTCTCATATATAGGCAAAATCCTAATAAGATCGGACCACTATATCATATAGCTGCCATAGGAACGATCGGTCGAAAAATAAGTTTTTGTATGAAAAAACATTTTGTTTTTAAGATATCTTGACCAAACTCTACATTTATTAGTTTAACTATACCCCTCATATATAATCAAAATCCTATTAATATCGGACGACTATATCATATAGCTGCCGCAGGAACGAACGGTAGAAAACTAGGTTTTTGATTGAAAACCTTTTTTGTTTTTCAAGATATCTTGCCCAAGCTCGGCATTAACTATTTACCCTGTGCTTCTTAGATACGGGCAAATCACTATAAGCATTATGAAAAGGTTGGTTCTGCAAGGGTACTAGATCTTCGGCATGCCGAAGATAGCCTTTCTTTCTCGATTTTTTTTTTCAAGAAATTATGACCAAACTCTTCATTCATAAGTTTCACTATGCTCCCTAAATTTATGCAAAATCCTATTTACGTAGGACCACTATACTTTATAGAGGACATAGGAACGACTGGCTGGAAAGTGGGTTTTCGTTTAAAAAACTTTTTTTGCTTATCTAGATATCTTTGTTAAACTTGGTATTTATTAGTTTTACTATGTTCCTCATATGCATGCTCATAGCTGCCATAGGATCGATCGGTCGAGAATTAAGTAAATCTTCGACCCCCATTTCCACCAAGAAGGAATGGATTTTTAAAAAAAGCGTGAAACAACCCTCAAGTAAATTTGAACAAATTTCGTTCAAAATGCTCTAGGCCGATCGGATGGTAAACAACAAATTTTTATACAAACGTTTTTCGCGATTTATCCATACTTGCGGTAGGAATTTCCCGAAACCCCGTCTTAACGTGCACTTTCATCGCATAAGGTGACTACAGTGAAAATTTCAGCTCCCTAGCTCTTATGGTATGGTATGTGCGTTGATTACCAATAAGTCAGTCAGTCAGTCAGGTCAAACAGTATTATATATAGAGCTAACTATATTATAATTAAAAAACTAGACAACAAATTTTAATTCTGTGAGTAAGACCTTGATAAATGGAAGAATCGATTAACAAAATAATTTATTTATTGTAATAATTAAATTAATGTAACATTATATGAATCTAATATTAATTATATAAATGCTATTGTCTTTCTATTCAGTTCGTTTCATTAATCATTAATGTGAGTTTTTTTGAACATCGGTAAATTTAAATACGATATCTTTATACATCATTAAAAAAATCCGTCCGTATGTATGAGCCAAAGGATCTCAGAGCCTATAAGAGCTAGAGACTTGAAATTTTAGAATTAGATGCTCCTAGTTCCCGCGCAAATCAAGTTTGTTTCCGGTAATCGATAACTTACTCCGTTTCAAAGCAATCGATAAAAATCGATATCGACATCCTGTTATTTTTAGCAAATTGTGTAAATAATAAGAGCTAGAGCCACCAAACATGATATGTTGCTTCTAGAATATTATAGATATTTCAAGTATCTTTCATTTCATACCTATCGCCACCTCCCCGCTACCACCCCAGAGCTATAAATCAAATGAATAACCCAACTGTTATTGCCAACCAATTTTTCAGAATACACAAATATTCTATGGTACAATAAGATATACTGTAGAAAATTTCATAAAGATCGGTTAAGAAAAACCAAAGTTATATGCAACTGCGCAATTGAATGGGGCAGCAGCTTTAAGAATTTCTGTATACATGTACACACACATGTTCATGCGCGCTGCTTCGCATTCTAATAGCATGGTAATTGCATCTTTTTTTTAATGTTTTTTTAGTTCCTTTTTTATCATAAGTACTTAATTGTTGGTGTGGCTGCTGAGTAGAGGCATAGCAAGTGGTGCGGTCTGTCGCGAGTTCGAGCGCTACCGAGGAAAGTATTATTATAATTTTTTTTTTTTGCTGGTGTGGCTGTTGAGTAGAGTCGACAGTAAGTAATGCGGTCAGTTGCAAATTCGAGCCCTGCCAAGGGAACAATTTTTTTTTAATTTATTTGGTGTTGGAATAAGAGGGTTCAGGGTATCCCCTAGTCGGGAGCTCCCGACTAGAACCTCTTACTTGTTAGAATTTAAACATGGCCAAATCTCGAAAAGAGTACCTAAAATGGAGCCCTTACTTCGGGAGCGCAATTTTTGAGTTTTGGAAGAAAAACCTTACGGCGCTCATGTAAATTAATGAAACTTGATCAGCTGTTTATTTTAAAAAGCGGTACTTTCGCCACTCACATGTTGCCGCAACCGGTGGAACGCCAATATGTGAAATTGGAAAATGTGACATTTCTTAAACTCACCAGACATGAATATACCAAATATATCGATTTGTAACAATATCTTACCTGCTTTGTTGATATATAATTAAAGTTTCGACTTGTATTTTAATCGATAACTTTCAGAAGTACCACTTAACAGTGCGCGCAAAAAAGCTTCGAATACATCAGGTCAAAAGTAAATAGAAGATAAATACCTTAAATATACCCTTGCCTCTTTTATTATATATTACTATAAGACATTAGGAGAATGATTTTTAGTTTTTAGTGTGATTTAGTTAACATTTTTTCGGTTAGTTAAAAATTCAATATATTAAATTACTGTTATTTTATGTTGGATTCATTTTTGTTAAACATAATGTCATTTTACTCAATTAAATTTATCAATATTATTCAAAAGTAGTATATTTAAAATTTAATGTAATTTCAACCTTATCGACATGAATACCTGTACGTAAACTGACTTGTTAAAGGACTATTCCTTGCTAGAACATTGCTAGAGGGTATAAAATAACTTTTAGTACAGAAGTTGAGCAAACCTATATCGTTTATTGTCAGTGCGCGTAATTTCGCTGTTCAAGATTATTGGGTCGAAATATATTTCTTAAATAAGTATCTACCTAATTATAAGTGAAAGGTTAAACTATACTTCACTTTAAAATCAAATTTAAGTCAAGTATGTATCAACAAATATATTTTAGGTGTATAAATTCACAATTAATTTCACATACATATCTATATATATATATAAATATATATATATATATATAAATATAAATATTTATATATACATATATATTATAAATATATATATTTATAAATAAAATAATGCTTATATTATATTTTTTAATAAAAAACTGTGTGCTAAAAACAAACTTAAGGCATATATGTACATGAGTTTATTGATTATACATTAGTGACGATGTATCTAGTGCGCAGAATCGAATGACAGTCATATTACACAAAAATATGTCAGTGCAGCAAAAGCTGTTGGCGATTTATTCGACCATGTAGCAAGGTTGCATATGTATAAATAAAGAGTACATATGAACATTATCAACAACACATCGATTTAATATTAAAAAAATAAAAAACAACTATGATAAACGTTATTTATTGACGATTACAGTGCTACATGCTCTAACATTTTTTAAATGTTGGGATTATGTGTCAGCATGCATTTCATGAGGATACTACACATTAAATATTTTGACAAACTCTGAGCAATGTTTATTTTGAAGAATTGTAACTGTTGTCTTATCTGGCTTATTTTGAAGTATAAGAATGCATAAAGTATGTTGTAAAATATATTTTACTGATAGGCTTTGTTTCATTCAAAAATGTATTAATAATGGGCTAAACAAAGGAATTGAGTGAATACATTGGAAATAAAGTAAAAGTGAAGTGTAACTCTGGTATTTCCGTAAAAAATATCAGAAAATTATACAATATTTCTCGTTAAATGATTTATTACCAAGTAGTAATTTTTGATTGAGATATTTTTTTCTTCGGAGTATAGCTCCTTAATTTTGTTTCTGGAGGGAGCCTTAAATAAAATTATGAATGCAGGTCGAGACATTATAAAAAGAACCCCTTACACGAAGGTGCTAGGGAACAAGCGGAAACGGTCTAATTCAACCACGGGGAGCCTCTGTGAATACTTCCCAATATATTTTGTGAAGATTGATTGAACACCGCCGATGCCATTGCTTCCGGATATCATAGCTAAATTAGCTCCACTACAGTACATGTTACAATCCTTTATTTGGCTCTATCACTTTTTGCAGAGGTCTCGGTACAGACTGCATGAAGTTGTGGATACAACACTATTGAATCTTCTTCCAGATTGCTTTTACCTCTGATATTGTAACCTTGCAATTCCTTGTCAAGCTTAGTCTCTTAGTTTTTTTTGAGGCAGCGCCTCAACCCGACATCCTTCAAAAATTCTGAAATCATTTAAGCTTTATGACACAGGGCGTTGTCTTGCTGGAATATAAAGGACTCCCTGGTCAGAAATACATTTTTCGAAAAGTGTGCAACACCCCTCAAATGAATCTGAACAAAGATCTTTAAAATTGAGCATAAGGGCGATCGGATGGTAAACAAAAAAGTTCCATACAAACGTTTTTCGCGATTTTTTCATACTTGCGGTACGAATTTCCTAAAACGCCGTCTTAACGTGCACCTCCATCACATTAGGTAACAACAGTGAACATTTCAGCTTCCTAGCTCAATAAGTCAGTCAGTTAGTCAGTTAATCAGTCAGTCTGTCAGTACATGCGGTTTTTTATATATAAAGATGTAGCATTTAATATATATATATATATATATATATATATATATATTTATATATATATATAAATGTATCTATTTATATATATATATATATATATAAATATATTTATATATATATAAATGTATCTTCTTTTTTTTTTTATCCAGTGTACTTGAACTATGTATTTAAAGAGCTCTGGGAGTCTGAAGCTAACGCAAGTTTTAGCTTTAAACGATGTTTATTCCCGGTTTTTATCCATATACACGCTCCGGCCAACTTAATGGGTGCTTTATTCCGGTCTTTCACAGACAGCGTCAAAAGGTCACCAAAAGTTAATTCATTTTCCGGACAATGAGAGCGTCGCCTGCCCCTTCTGGCTGGCGTGAGCACAGTGGGGGGAGAAATTACAGTACCGTCATCCAATTAGCACGCGTTGCGTTTGCGTTGAAAGTGAGTGGGTTTGCAGTCAGAGACGGCGGCAGCCAAAAATGTATTTTTTTTTTCGCATGCAGACCAGAACTTGTTTGAACTTAGACCAGATCTTGGCATAAGAAAAGGTATTTGCCTTCCGGTCAGGTACTCCCGGGCCTCATGGCGTTACAAGAGACTATATGGTGAAGAAAAAAATTATTGCATTGTAAGTAAATTATTAGTTAAATTTTGCTCTGATGACCGATCGGCGATGCCAGACCTTCGGTTGAAAAAAATTTTGCAAGGAGACTTATTTCCGGGCATTACAGGGCTTATATAGGGTCTAGGATTAGGATTAGTGTTCCTTCGCGGATTAGAATTATTATTTTTTCAAAATAATTATAGCGACGCATACGTTCACGAGGTCAAACACGTTGGACTACTGTACATTGGTTAAAACGATTTGAGTAGTCGTCCGGAGGGTGCAGGTGGATAAGCCGTGGCGATAAGCGAGTTTTCTGACCAAATCAACGCACACATTCGTGCGTTAAAGAGCATGGGCAACACCAAACAGATCGCTGGATATATAATTGTGAAGATTATTCTTCAAACCTGGACCCAACATCACAAGCCAAATGGAAAGAAAAGATAGAGGACCATCGTAGGAGCATATGCCTACTTTTCTGGTGCAGAGATGCCGAACCATGGAAACCGTAAATTTTGCTATGGGAAGCTATGCCCCCAGCCATCAGGTGGAGCATTTAACACAATTAACACAAGTAGATCGTCATTTATCGCCACCAACCACGATGCCCCTGCCTACGGTGTGACGCTGGTTCACAATTACAATTTCTACATGCCACCTAACATACGCGAAGCAAAATCGAACTATTATATTATTGACTTTTATCGATGTTTAGATGTCAAACCATAGACTTATTATATTGTTAATTGTTATTATTATGACGTTAAACTAATGGAATTTTAAACTAATTATTAAGCTAAGGGAACATATGGAAGTCTAAAATAGATTGATACCAATTATTTATGAGAATAAGAGAAGAGGGATTAAGTTAAGAGTGATCAATTACGAATTAAATATAATCATAGGCACAGGAGGAGCGGAGGAGCGAATAGGCTTAAGTAGACAGTTTTCGCCGCACAGCGAAAGGGCGAGAAAAGGGTAGTCAGCCGGCGAATCTTATCAGCAGCTTCAATTTGGATCGACAGCTATAAGTAACAGACGTGCGTACGCAACGACGAAGACGGACTTAGAAAGAAACCGCGAGGCGGCCGTGAGGCTTGGGAAAAGCAATCTAGAATTGACGGTGCAGCAGGGACAGGGTTTTGAAGTGAATAAATATAAGTAATTACCATTAAAGTGTTTTGCATTCTTTTGCCGACAAGCCGGCGGTCGTGGACGAACAAGAACTGTTTATTTTCAGAGTTTTCCACTTGGCAGTAGAGCAACCCCAATTACACTGATCAGCCATAAACCTAACCGCGGCGGAGAGGTCATCGCGGCTCCTCTCCCTTTTCCCTGATAGATTAATCACTCTGCTGCGGAGTAACTCCAACGACTCCCTTACCCCATCACGTCTCGGCCAACTATAAATGTCTTGTAGAGTGGATATGGGTAGACTGAGTACTACAACCCCGGCAAATAACACTACTTCACAACGGCTTGTGACATCCCTGGTCATCGGATATTTAATTGTTCACGATTTGGAAACTTGCCCTCTGCATTACGACTTAGGGAAGAAAAACGACTTCTAAAGAAAATCCATCAATTGCGATCAAGCAGCTCTGGATTCTGTCGGACCTGCGGGGCATAAAACCATTCCTTGCTGAATTTAAATAACTACTTTTCAATCTGGCCAGCTGACTGCGCTTGCTGATTCATCGTCAATTGCCCACGCCTCTTTCTCTAAGTCGTCGACATCTATCTCCACCTCTCTTATCCCCCAGAGTTTTAGCAGTGATGTTATCATCTTGGCTACTGCTATGGAGTTCGCCAAGAATCGCTCCGCTTCTCAGCTTCATCTTATATAGTCTCGACTAGCTCACCAGCTATAGTTAAAGGGGCACATGCCCTCAGCCATTGTCTCCGGTCTTCGAGAGTCTCGTTTCGACACAGAAGGAAATACGGTTTCTATTATGTTACAGTCAAAAGTATCTAACTACTTTACATGCCTCACAGCGAATACTATTACCGATAGTCAACCGAGTTTTACTATCGACAATACAAACTGGAACATTCCCGTTAACATACGATCCGTCTTTCTTTCAGCCACAACGCGGGCTTGCTACTTGGGACTAGACTTTTTAATGACCTTCTCAGCGTCGGCCAGATAGGCTTTTCCCAAGGCTACCATGTTTTCAAAAAACAAGGCTTGTTTGGGTAGTTTCTGGAGGCGCACCGCGGTTGAGTGGGACCACGTTAATTGCGAAGCATACTGTCGGTAAACTTGAGTCCAATTCTGAAGAACGTGCTGATTAATTGGTGCGACGATTTTGGGAGATAGAAACCTGCTTGGAAACAATACCCATCACTTCAAAGAAAGAAACTGATGGTGAAGAGGATTTCGTAAGGACACCTACCAGAATGGCCAATATTCGGTTCGTTTACCCTACAAGGGAAGTTTGAAATGTCTTGGAAAGGAAACTTCAAAATCGACCAGACCTGGAGACTTAATATTCAAATTTCTTAAAAGGAAATTTATACCTGGTCTTATGTCAATATTTTCTCCCTTACCCCTGTGCCTTTTATAGAAGACAGTTCAATGACAAAGTTCTAAGTTGTTTTCTATGGGTCAGCAGCTACCACGTCAGCATATTCATTAAATTTACTATTGGTGGCTGGTCCTGCTATTCAGAACTTGTTGGTTTTATTTGTCATTTCCCGTTCGCCTTCACAGGAAATATTGGAAAAATATATCGCTGCAAACGCATTACAGCGCCAGATCATTTTCTCCAATGCATTCTGTGTA